CTAACTACGCGATATGCATATTTTTTCTCCAGCAATATGGATGTGTGGACAGAAACGGTGCGCAGTTTTAGACGTCATATTCCCTTTTCGACTATGAAGGGGTTCATATCATTGTAATCTGACACGATCCTGCTCACCAGTACGGGAGTTCATTTTATCTGAACTATTTGGCCCGGTGGCCAGATCTTTGTTGTATAGAAGAATCCTCAAACGGAAAGATGATGGGATACAGTGCGTCTGTCTTCACCTTAATAAGGATTTTCGTTTAACCTAAATCCCTTTACAGTCATTGGAAAAGCTGAAGGCCAGGGTACAAATCATCACGGACACATAACGGCACTCTCAATCGCTCCGGAATATAGACGGTTATCGCTAGCAAAACGACTAACATCACTTCTTGAAGACATATCGGATTCGGTATACCAAGGGTACTTTGTCGATTTATATGTCAGACCATCCAACAAAATTGCTGTTAATATGTACGAAGGCATGGGATATAGTGTTTATAGGACTGTTAGGGACTATTATGGAAACCTAGGGCCGGGAATAGATGGAGGTGGCTCTGAGGATGCTTATGGTGAGTGACTCGAGGTTCAGACGTTGATCTGGTAAATTGACTATTACGACAGATATGCGAAAACCACTATCACGAGATCCTCAGAGAAAATCAGTACGGGCTAATGGAAGGGACGTGATAGTTAGCGCATCTAGTGTATCATGATACATACTGCTCTATCCAATCTTTCATCTCAAAAACGTCAGAGTGGCGGCCAAATAAATGACATTATGAGCACAGTCAAATATCTCCAAGATACAAGATGCTATGAAGTACCTGAATGATTGGCAAGCTGCTCAACCATACATATGCTGGGCAACAAGTGACGCGCCAACGAGAGTAGCAAGAGCAAACCCTACATTCGAATTTACAGCGCTTTCATGCTGTAATAATTCCCCACCATACATGTCTATCCATTCGATACCTCGTTCGGCGTGGGCTTTCGATAAAGGCAAAGCGTCCTCTCCTTCGTAAATAAAGCACTCCGCAGGGACGACCAACGTCGTCAGATTAGTGATCCGGGCTACCACCGCCGCTAATTGGCGGTAGTTTATCGAACTCCCGTAGAGATTTGTGATACATTCACATAGAAAGAGTTGAGAGAGTGGGTGGGTATGTGGTGGATCCGCGACCAAGTCGAGGCTACCAAGAAAAATACCGAGGAATTGAAGAGAGGGAAAATCTTCCCAAAATTGTTCGTCTACTTCGATGCTCTTATCTGGGTCGAAAAGATATAGTGAGAGGAGTCGCGTGGTTGGACCGGGTACCATGGAGGCAGAAAAGTTCTCCACAACCCTCCGTCTCGCCTTGAAGTGATAATGCTTGAGTGAAGGAAACCACCACTCTTGTATAGGAAACTCTGTGACGTTAAGAGAGAGAACTTCCAAGTTTGGAAGGACAAGAGGACCTTCGACGACGCCGGCCCATATGGCCAAGCAAGTCAGCTGAGTGAAGGAGCTTTGCAGGCCTTCGACAAAGGATTGAGGGATACCCCTAACACTTTGACCAAATTCGCAAGAGAAACCGATGGATCGGACATGAGGGATCTTTTCAGCGCTTTTATACAGGACGGAACCATCATTCGACGGGTCCTGAATATAAAGCACCGATATGTTGCTAGTCTGAGAACGGGATGTTTCGGTATGGAATCTGCTTTCTTGAGGAAGGTATTCGATGCCTTCCGAAGTGGTGAAGTCGATCCGCTGAGTCCCGGATCCCATGACTTTGGTCTGGGACTTGAGAAACACCCAGCGCAACGAATGTCGATCTAGAAATTCCTTCCATGTTCTACACACTAGTCTTAATTTCTTCCTCTGTTCTTC